AAATGAAGAAAATTTCGATAAAGCAAATGGCACATCGAATCAAATCACAAACAAGACTAATAAATTAAGCAGTAATCTTTCTCCAAATGCTGATACATTTACTCCAATGGCAAGCAGCCAAAAGGTTAGTGACACTAATGAAACCAACCAAGCAAAGTCCATTAACGGTACTGCGCTGAATATTTCCAGTTCTTTTAATAAACAAGTTCTACTTTCAACTGCAATTATTTTCGTTAAGGGTAATGATGGAAAATTTATCTCGCTGAGAGCCTTGCTGGATTCCGGTTCTCAAAATAATTTCATTACTAAAGAAGGTGCTGAGTTATTGAATTTGAAGAAAAGAAAAATAAACGCTTCTATTTCAGGTATCAATGGTACAGTTATGGGTGTTAAGGAAAAAGCTATAGCAACCATCGCTAACGCTACTAGAGATTTTATTCGTACCTTACAATTTTTTGTTGTTCCAAAAATAACTCGCGTAACGCCTGCTAGATATATAAACATTCCTGATGTTAAGCAGTTGCAACTCATTGGTTTAGCTGATCCAGAGTTTTATAAACCTGGTCAAATACATGTTTTATTATCTAACGAAATATTTTTTGATTTACTGGGAACAAATAGAATAAATATGCAAGACCTGATTCTCCATCAGTCAGTTTTTGGATACATCGTTAGCGGGTCAGTACGCATGCCGCAGCAAGGCAGTGTTGATAATTTTTGTGGGTTTGTGGAAAATGGGGATAATTTATCTGACAACATGAGAAGGTTTTGGGAGATTGAAGGTATTAATGAAGCAAAAAAAGTGAAAAGTCAGGAAGAGGAATTTTGTGAACAGCACTTTCTTCGTACACACACGCGAGGCAAGATGATGGCAGATATGTAGTGGAAATGCCAATTAAGGAGGAAGGACTTAGCCTTTTAGGGGAATCGAGAGAAAACGCTAGCAAAAGACTGAATTATCTACTTAAACGCTTCACTCGCAATCCCGCAATGAAACACTTATACGAAGATTTCATTAAGGAATATAATGAAATTAGGCCATTCCGAAGAAATTGATGAAGGGGATAGCTCTAGTTTCTCATATTATCTTTCCTCACCATGGGGTTTTCAGACCCGAGAAACCTAGCACTAAACTTAGGGTAGTGTTCGATGCCACTGCTCCTACGACTACTGGAATTTCGTTAAACGATATTCTGCTGAATGGAGGGTTAGTTCAAGACGAACTATTTGATATTATTTGCAGATTTCGAACGCATAAAATTGCCTTCACAGCAGACATTGTAAAAATGTATCGTCAGATTTTGATTAAAGAACATCAAAGAGATTTATTACGCATCTTATGGAAGAGTAGTGAAGAAGAACCAGTTAAGGTCTATAGACTGAAGACTATAACTTACGGTACTTCCAACGCACCATATCTAGCAACACGCACACTTAATCAATTAGCAGAAGACGAGAAAAAATAATTTTTCGTTAGCAGCGCCAATAGTACAAAGGGATTTTTATGTCGATGACGTACTCACAGGAGCCCATACTCTAATAGAGGCTAAAGAATTACAGTCGCAATTGATTAACCTATTATCACGTGGAGGAATGCGTCTGCACAGATGGTGTGCTAATCATCCTGATCTTTTGCAGTTTCCGGATGGACAAGAGGAATATTCTTTCAGTAATTTCGATGACGATCAGAGCATCAAAACTTTAGGATTATTATGGAATCCAAAGATAGATTGTTTTTCGTACACAAATCAACCATCAAGAAACCAACTACTTACACAAAGAGAACAGTGTTGTCTGATATTGCTCGCATTTATGATCCATTAGGACTGCTTGGTCCAGGGATAACAAAAGCAAAAATCTTCATCCAAAGACTTTGGTTATTGAAGCTTGATTGGAACGATCCGCTACCCGAAAGGATAATTAAGGATTGGCAACTTTTTATTGATTCAATGCAATCTATCAACAATTTGAAAGTCAGTAGATATGTTTTACAGGATAGTTTTTCTGATATACAAATTCATGGATTTTCAGATGCATCAGAACACGCATACGGAGTAGCCATCTATTTACGCTGTAGAAGTGACAATAATTTATCTTCACATTTGCTTTGCAGCAAGTCCAGAGTAGCTCCACTAAAACCGCTGACAGTACCTCCTCGACTGGAACTCTGCGCAGCTGTACTGCTAGCACAGCTTGTTGCAAAGGTGGTGCCTTTATTGAAATTGGACATCAGTAAAATATGTCTGTGGTGTGACTCAACCATAGTGTTAGCATGGCTTCAGAATCCTCCGCATGTACTAAAAACTTTTGTTGCTAATCGAGTGTTGCAGATCCAAGAGCTAACACAGACATGCCAGTGGAATTATGTGCGTTCAGAGGAGAACCCAGCAGACCTTATTTCCCGAGGACTGAATTTTGACAAGCTGCATGATGCTGATCTGTGGTGGAAAGGTCCTCCATTCTTGAGTGAGGGTGTCATACCTAACAAGAACATTGACTTTGAACAATTAGAAAAAACAGAGACATTTTCTAATGAACTGAGAAAAAGAACTGACATTGCTTGTTTATGCACTTTGCCTTCAAAATTTATTGATAATGTCCTAGATATCACTAACAATTATTTAAAATTATTACGTATTGTTAGTTATATTTTCAGGTTCATTTGGAACTCTAGGTGTGCAAAACAGAAAGGAGCACAGAGAAGAACAGGAGGAGTAAGTTCAAAGGAGTTAAATGAGGCAGAATCCTTTTTAGTAAGAGAGGTTCAAAAATGTAGTTTTTTTATTCAGATTACAACTCCCTCGCACAAGGTAAACCCATTAATAATAAAAGTAATTTACTTTCTTTGAACCCTTTTTTGGATGCAAATAATGTAATGAGAGTAGGAGGGGGCCGATTACAAGGGGCCAATGTAATGTTTTCACAAAAACATCAAATAATTTTGCCTGTTAAATGCAAACTAACTAAGCTGATTGCTGAGCATTATCATCAGAAATATTTACACGTAGGTTCGCAAGCATTATTGTGTTTTATGAGACAGAAATTTTGGCCATTACAAGGTAGGAATTTAACTAGAAAGATTACCCATGAATGTATAATTTGTAGTAAAAATAAACCAGTCACTATCGAACAAATTATGGGGTCATTACCTGCAGAGCGCGTAAATCCAAGCTCACCCTTTAATCATGTCGGCACCGATTTTTGCGGTCCATTTTTTATTAGGTACAAGGGACAGAGGAAAGGAACTCTTCATAAGGTATATTTAGCTCTTTTCATTTGCCTTATAACAAAGGCAGTGCATCTCGAACTAGTGAGTGATCTCACCACTGACGCATTTATTGCCACCTTAAAGAGATTTATTGCTAGGCGCGGAAAATGCTCAATCATTTTCTCAGACAACGCAAAAAACTTCGTTGGCGCAAATGCCGAATTGCAAAGAATTAACAATTTAATTAGAAATCCTGACAAAAAATTAGCAGATTATTTAGGTGAAGAAGGAATAGTATGGAAGTTTATTCCCCCACGGACACCTAATTTTGGTGGACTATGGGAATCTGGAATAAAATCCGTGAAATATCACTTAAAGCGGATTGTAGGTAATGCAAGGTTGACTTTCGAGGAGTTATTAACTGTAGTAACTCAGATAGAGTCTGTTTTAAATTCTCGCCCTATTACTCCCTTATCTTCCGATGTAAATGATTTAGAGGCATTAACACCAGGTCCATTTTCTCATTGGAAGACCCTTGAATGCTATAGTAGAACCCGAATTAATTGATATACCTGAAAACAGACTCTCAAGATGGAAACGAACTACCAGATTTGTCCAGTTGATATGGAATCGTTGGCATAGGGACTATTTAAACACACTACAACAGCGTTCAAAATGGAAGGTAGAACAAACGAATATTAAAATAGGTATGCTAGTACTAGTTAAGGAGGATGAGCTTCCTGTCTGTAGATGGGTGTTAGGGCGCATTACAAGAATTTTTCCTGGAGTTGACGGTAAGGTTAGAGTAGTAGAAATACAGACAGCAAAGGGCATCATTAAGCGTGGAATTACAAAAATTGCAATTTTACCCCAAGAAAAAGCTTCCAAAGTTAGTTAAGTGTTAGCTTATTATTATAAAATTTGTATTGTACATTGTATTAGGTATAAAATTTTTATTGAAAATTGAATATTATTATATTGAATTAAGAGATGATTCGTATTGCATTATTGTATAAGGTAGTAATTGTACAATTTTGTAGGTTATTATGAGTATTATCGAACGAAATTATTGAAGTAACCCTTCAATGCCGGGGGGTATGTTAAGTCATTAAGACTATTTAACTGTAAGATTACGTCATTTTTTCTCTTCTTGGCGCCTTGCATGGCGCAGATGTTCATTACAGCAACCCTGTAAACGCTTACTCAGTTTTATTTTTTATTGCTGTTGTTGTTAGTAGTAAGTCATCGCTTGAAAGATGGCACGCATTTGATTAAAGTTGTCGAATAAAATATTTAGTACAGTCCACTTCTAGTTAATTTGAAATTGTTGTATAACAACGCACGCATCGCATGAACAAGATTAATTCCTGATGTTCCTAATAAAGGAAAAACTGTTCTTATGCTTTCAACATTATATAACGATCATACTATTGGAGAACATAAAACGTCAGGAATTATATATTTTTATGATATGAGTAAAGGAGCAGTGGATATGGGGGGATGAAATGTAAGTCAAGTTCCTAATGACGGAGCACGTAATAAATAAACAAATAGACTATACACTGTAACATAAAAAACTTTATAAAATCTCCGAAACGATGCCTATTTAGCTTTTTTACTAATGTCTAACTACAGCTTTATTTTAAACACAGAGATTTACACCACAGTGTTCTCTGGGTCCTAGCAGCGGCTACAAACTTAGACATAAATAATATTGATATTTAAAGCATCAATAAATTTGTGAAAGGTTTCAATGGAAAACAGGACGGAAGAGCTACAAGAAACTATTTACCTGTCCAGGCTTGTAATGCCTGACTATGATACCTCTACCATACACTCCACCAGCTTCATTTGGTCTTGGGGTTGGTAGATGCCAAGCATCGCCACAGATGCCACATTTGCCACCATTCCTCTGCCACTGAACCTGAAACAGAATTCGACAATGAATAAAAATTGCGTTATTGCACTATTACACAAATGCATAAAAGTGTGGAAGTTGTATTAAAAGTTGGTAAAAGTGTAACAATTGCTACATGGTTGATGATTTTTGAGACTAACCGTGGATAACGATTATAGGATATGATAAAGAATACAAAACATGAATTGATGTTCAGCTTGCAGAATAAATAAGCTAATGATCTTCAAACTGTGCCCCATGGAACTTTGGAGTTCCATTCAACTGTTTCTATGTCTAAACCGCAAGTGTGAATAAGAGAACAGAACATGAAATGTATTTCAGCTTGCAGAATGAATTAGCCGATAATCTTCAAACTGTGCTGAATTGAACCTTGAAGTTTCAACCAATTCATTTTTGGTCTAACCTGCAAGTGGGAATAAGAACACAGAACATGAACTTAGTTTCAGTTTGTAGAACTAATAAGCTAGTAATCTCCAAATTGCGCTCCGTGGAACCATGGAATTCCAGTCAACCCGTTTTAGGTCTAAACCATTATGAGAATGTGTATTTACAACTTTTAAAGCCTGAGAAACGCCTGTCTGCAGTGTTATCGCCATGGGAGGGTGCTTTATAGGTGATAGGTACTTTATTTTTTATCACGGCATTTCGACAACGAGGTGTTCAGCCACGATGTTTTAAAACGCTTTGCTTTCTTTTCTCTCACGATGTTTTTACGACGACCTTCCCGCCTTGCATTGCTTTCTCCAGAATGTTTTCATCCGTAATCCAATCCTATGCAAGCAACCCAAAATAACAATTGAATAAAATTTTTCTTCCTCGATTATACACCGCTGCCAATCGTTGTATATTCTGTATGATAAGAAAATGAAAAATGTATGATATTTTTTAACCCACTTCGTATCCTTCCTATTCCATGGGTAGATTTAATGCCGGTATTGATTATACGCAGTGTCAATCAAATGTAGATTTTTTCCTCTCGTGTAGATTTTTTACTCATGTCAATTCTATCAACTCTATGCAGTAATAAATGTACGTCTGTGACGAGTCTGTGAAGGTGACAAAAATGTCCATTAATTCTCTTACTCATTATTACATCATTATCAATATTTCATTTTTTATTGTGCCGATCGCATGCTAATGTTGATTCTGTGCCAGAGCGATTGTACGCACTGTCGACGCTAAACATGTCGATTATGCGTCGTGATAATTCTAAGAATACAAGCCAAGTCTATGCTAATGTCCATCATATTTAATTATCTTAAAAATGTAATAATTAAATCAATTTCTTTTCCTCTATTTTATGCACCATTGTAAGTCTCTTTCCTCTTTATTAAGCACCGTTTATTTGCCTTGTCTACCTCAACTGTCGATTGCACACCATTCTCGACCTTAAGCTGTAGCTTTTTTATGCTGATATCGATTTCACGCAATGTCAGGCCATGCTACGCTAGTGCTGATACTGTGCAATGTTGAAGGTACACTGGTGTCAGTCTTAAACACCTAACTGATCTGTTTTTTGTTATCTACGCTGGCTGTATTATTGGTTGAGCCCGAACTCGGAATAGGCTTGGTTTTTGTATGCGTAGAGTATCTGCACAATACGAATGACTCCTAAGCACTTTAGTGATCGATTTTTTGTTATCTACGCTGGCTGTAATATTGGTTGAGGCAGAACTCGGAATAGGTTAGGATGTTTCTATGGGTAGAGTGACATGAATGTGGAATGTGTTTTTTTTTTTTTTTTTTTTGTTTTTTTTTTTTTTGTTTTCAAGTGGTTTAGTGGTTGGGGCAAAATGGAGACAAAGATGTACAGTTAGTGAGGGACCTATTCTTGTAAAACCATTTGTGAAGTTCTAGTATCCTGCCCATTTCTTCCTGTCTTGTTGGCCCTGCGCAGCAGCGATAGCAAACGTTTGTGACGACTCTACGCAGTTGATAAATGTGCACAAATTTCTTTACTCGTAATTACATCAAAGTTTTTTTTGTCGTATTGATATTATGTATTAATTGTCGTATGGATAGTATATCAGAATCGGACAGTGTGTCTTTACGGATATCGCCCCATCGCCGGTCGGTGGTTAAGTGGTTGCTCGACCTGGGTTCCAACCCAGCGAACCACCTAGCTGCATTGCTGGATTTCGTGCATTTCCCCCTATGTTAAACATAAATGGGAAGCAGTTCCCTTTAGAAAGTCCTCCACGAAGGTATCTGATCCGTTAGCCAAATAGCTCTTCTGTGGTTAGCCACATTCGAATAACTTACCTAAACTTAACCCTATTCTACGCAGTATTAATCATATGAGCTACGCCAGATACTAAGGTCGCAACAAATCGCAACAATTTACTCAATTAACCAAGCGTCTTTAACTATTACCAATTTTCCTGTTAATTTCAGGAGTGAGTGCACGTAATGGAAATAAGTCGCGATAGGGTCGAAAATTAAATGGCTAATTAACTTCTAAAATAAATAATAAATTTAAAATAAATAATAAATTTCTAATAATCTGAAATAAATAATAAAATTCTTTAAAAAGTTTACTATTTTGTACACATTTTTTATGAAGCGACAGAGTTTTTAATAAAATAGTGCAATGTACTGAAAAATTCCTAAGCATAACCTTAAAAAAAATGAGTTAACGTAAATATTTAAAATATATTTTGTTGCAAAAACTTCAGTAAACTGCAAGAATTGTTAACGTAGTGTAACAGAAAAGCCTGAAAGGCATTTTTGCAATCCCCAAAAAAAAAAAAAAAAAAAAAAAAAAAAAAAAAAAAAAAACTGCGTTTCTTACAGTGTTTAAAAACTTTCTTTTGAAAACAAACTTAGGAATTAATAACATATCGTAACTTATTAAAATGCTCACAGCGTTTCTTTTGAAAGGATGGAGGGGAAGCAGTGCTACTTCAGGCTATATCTCTTATGCGTAAAAGTTTACTTATCCGTTTTTTATTTATTTACATTTGTGGAACAACGCTTATTTTTCTTTAAAGTGGAAAAAATAGAGATATTCATCTCCCCCCCCCTGTTGTTGCTGAGTCGCGTCAAAACCTTTTAATACACATTTAACCTTCAAGCACTCACTTTTCCTAAATTAAACAATTACTTTGTCATAATCTTTTCAGCGAGATGAAAATGCTTGTAATTAAGCAGAATTAAATATGCATGGCAAAGAATTAAAACTCCATGAAAATAATATTTATACAATACAGAGGGTATTCATACATTTTTGTAACGATTTACTAAGATTTATATATAAACAAACCTTAGAATTTTATTTCCTAATATGTTTCAGTCTGATAGCCCTTTTCTTGAATTATATTACATCTTAATTACATCTTTATTTATTACATCTTGAATTGATGATCTTGGTTGAATGATACTCTTAATTTCCAAGATAAAAGTCCTTTTCATAAAACATCAAGGTCTATTTTATTCCACCCCTCCTTCACAATCTTCCAGAGTCCATCCAATGTCTTGGGATGCCGCTTATAAAGAGCTTGTTTTAGAATTCCAGATGCACAGAAAATAGAAGATGACTATTTTAAAAGGCCGTACGGGGACCATTTATTGCATATTCATAACCAGCTACCTTAATAATAATAATAATAACAATAATAAAAAAAAAGAGGTCTAATATAGCAACTTATTATAACTCCGCCCTCCTACTTCTGATTGGCTCCCGCTCGCCTCTAACTCCGCCTCGAAGTTCTTTCTGAAAATACAGCTCAACAGCTACTGCAAGAAACCCTGACCGGCAGATGGCGCCACTCCTGCGGTTTACTTCATGGACATAGAACTCTTAGAGACAAAGCGTCTCAAATTTCTCGCATACACGTTCACGTGTCGAGCGCTTTACTAAGGAATTTTCATCACAAGGCCCATTGTGGACAAAATTGATAGAACAGGAAAGTACTGTCTAATGCAGTAGAATGCCTGTATAAAACACATAAGTATCCAGATGCACAGTAATCCATAGGAGACACATCAGATGGACTTAGTGGAGATGCATTTAAAGGGAATAGCTTCAATTACGGTTTTATTTTTCATTTTTTCAAAAAATTAGAGCAGTAGATTTAGAGGTATGGCTGGAGCCTTATCCTGGTGGGACTTAACACAGTGAAGATTGTTTGGATAAAGAGATGGAAATTTTTTCTTTAAAAATACGTTAAGCATGTCCACCACAAAATCGGGAGTTCCACTTTTCGAATCTCGGTGAGAGCACTGCACACTTTTTGCATACCCTACTGTGAAAATAAAATGTCTAATGCCCTCTATTAGTGTTCAATAATCTTCTTCACTTGCCCACTTCGGGGTATTTCTTTAAAAGGTTCACACTAAGGCTTCCCCCTTAGGGAGTAACTCAGAGAGTTACAGCGAAGTACCCGAGGGCCCTCTCAGATAATCCTCGGGTATTTCGCCGTAATCAGAGAGTTAACCAATCAGTTAATCAGAGCTGAACTATAGGATCAATTGCTACAAGCTATCAGTCCTTCAGTAATATTTCAAGGTCATTGTATCGCATTAAAAATGACGAGGATACATATTAGATATACACTGAAGTGACAAAAGTCATAGGATACCTCCTAATATTTTGTCGGTCCTCCTTTTTGCCCGGGGAAGTGCAGCAACTCGACGTAGCAGGGACTCAACAAGTCGTTGGAAGTCCCCTGCAGGAATATTGAGCCATGCTGCCTCTATAGACATCCATAATTGTGAAAGTGTTGACGGTGCAGGGTTTTGAGCACAAACTGATCCTCTCGATGATGTCCCATAAATGTTCGATGGGATTCATGTCGGGCGATCTAGGTGGCCAGATCATTCGCTGGAATTGTCCAGAATGTTCTTCTAACCAATCGCGAACAATTGTGGCCCGGTGACATGACGCATTGTCATCTATAAAAATCCCACCGTTGTTTGAGTACGTGAAGTCCATGAATGGCTGTAAGTGATCTCCAAGTAGCTGAAGGTATCCATTTCCGTTCAATGATAGGTTCAGTTGCACCAGA